ATGGAACTCATAACATAAAATAATGAAAAGTAGGTGTTACATGGTACAGTGACATTAAGTGCCGCAATGTAGTTATACCTCTGCTTACGCCTTCGGGGATTAAAGGTGTGATCTTACGTATACCTGCTTATGACAAAATTTTAGGCGGATTTCTAATTTTATCTATACAAGAGTAAAAAATATTTTCACCATTATTCACAACTCTTAATGTAGGTTTGGTTGCTTTTAACAAAAGTCGACTTACCGATCGATGATGACTGGATCTGAAGGGGTTTCGTTTCTATTACCACAACTCTTCTTGTCACAACACCGACTGTAAACAAACATTGGAATTAGTATTAAAGTCTTGTGTTTGGTGTAAACACTCATCACCAGCACCATATTTGATAATAAACCTTATTTTTAGAGCTATAATGCACATTTTAGTAAATAACGTCACCTAAAAGTTTTCGAACTTATATTTACGTATAAAATAACATCAGAGAGTACAATAAATTCTCAATATCGGGACACATTAGGGCGATCCCCTGTATTTTTAGCCGAGTAAAGGGATACCTGTACCGTATGGGGATGAAAATCAATAAATTGTTAGTAAAAGTACCGAAGGGTTTAGATGCAATGTGTCACTCATAACATTCATATTTATAATGGTTACAAATATCTATTTTGTGTTCTAATCTTCAATAAAAATGTTTTGTACGTTTGTTATTGGAGTGTGTCGAAATTACTGAACCAATTTTGATGATACTTCAAAAGTTTGTAAGGGTATTAGTGTGGAGTTACTACTAGCTGTTACCCGCAACTTCGTTCGCGTGAAATTATTCATATTTCTTGTTAATTTTTACCTCTTTGACGCGACAACGTGTTGATTGCCGAGGCGTATTTGAGAGCTAGTATGAAACAGAACGTTTATTGTCTACTCAAGATGGCGACTGCGGTTTATCTGTCAGTGTCATTAAAATGAATTAATAAAACGAAATAATGTCCGTAATCCAAATTTTGCGGATATATGTCGTCGATTCGAAATCGATATTTTTTATGTTTTGTTATTCAGGTAATGTTTCGATCGAGTCTGCCCCTTGACGAAATTATTACTAAATATTTTATTTGGATAATTAAAGAAGAATTATGCAAACCAGATAACTTTGAAATGAATATGTAACTCGCACTAGTCTGCTTATCAAAGGATATGAATACATAAACAGTTATAGTGTTTTTAAAAATTAATGCATAAAAATAATTATGTATAATATTCTAGCCTCTGTACCGGTTTAAGAATTACACCGGTCCAGAGGCAGTCAGTTAGGAAATACTGGACTTGGTCTAGTAATTTTAAGATAGGCGTGTAAAAGTGTTACTTTATAACCTATTTGCAGAAATAAATATCATTTCATATCAAACTGATCTTTTCTTAGCCGAAGAGAGAAGTTTAAGAGAAGAAGTTCAAAAACTACTTTATAAAAAAACATTGCCCGCCGGTCATATCCACACTAAACAAACAATACGCTGCACGCGCCCTACCGGGACTCCTTGACGCAAAGGGCAAAGACATTGAAAGGACAGACTCCCTAGAGACTCCTCCCCTGAAGACGTGCGACAGGAACACACATATCCAGCAAAAAGAGACAACGATACACCGTCTAAGGTGGAATAAAATTTTAATTGCTCACACTGACGCGATGTAGTATCGCCATACACACTTACATTGATAGAATGGCGAGACACAGTACGTTTACGAGCGGAAAAACCACCCCAAACAAATGGTTAAATTAATAAGGATGCTCGTTTCTTTGTTCGCCCGCTCGTAATTAGGAAGTTACAAGATGCCTTCGCTTAAAACTGTTGTTACTTGTTTACATTTCAAATGCTTGCACAGTTTTATTCGGATTAAGTTAATATTCTTAGACTCAATTTCACTTTTATTATTTAATGAAACTAACTTTCTATTCGTGTACAAACTTACTTTTGTTCAGAAACTTCCAGAAATATTCCACTCTTATACAAAGGAAATTGTCATAAAGTTATGAGGAATCGTAAAAGTATTAACACAGTCCTGCCTATCATGTATGGCCCACAAAAGCCTGCCATTTTGGAGAAACATGACCGTGCAATAATATTTTGGGAGTCAATATTTATGACAAATGACTGTCGCGACCGTTTCTACGAAATGCGTCTTTTTTTAAATTTAGAATTCGTATAAAACGGCCGAAGTTATACGTGCCAGTTACATTATTCATCGTGTAATAAGGTTGATTTAAATATCGAACGATTTTTTATTTGTTAATTAGAAGAGGATTGCTGTTTACCCCATAAAGGCCAATAATGAAAAATATTGTGTTTGTGCTTACCTGCACATAACTTCGTGTGTAAGTAGAACCCTGCACATTTCTGGATTTTTATCTTGTCCCTCGTATACAATAGGCTGAAACAAAAACGAACCATTAATATTTTCATACAACAATAGAACTTATGACTCAGAAATGAATTATAAATTAGTAACATAAGATAATGATATAAAATTAATTAAAAATCGTTGTGGAGATAAGATAAAATGGCTCGTCTTCATCAAGTTATTACTTTGGCTAATTCATGCACCCCCGCATGCATAATTATTGCATTTTATTATCTAAACCAAAAACTTATTTGCATAATTCCCGCATTGAATTCACGAAGCTGATAACATTTTTAAAATCGGTAAGTACCCGCCTTCTCTATTAACATAACGTCACGCGTTTTATTTGCTTGGACAGACAGTGGTTTAAACTGTCAAACACCAAGCGGTCACCGGTGACCGCAACCTATTGTTCTATAATTGTGTCTACAAAACCGGTACTCGACGAGTTAAAACGTAGTAAAATTCCTGAAATGACTGCGAAACGTGAACAGTATCCAAAACCAACGAAATCAAGTTGTATGACGAATATGTAATTTATAGTATTATGATATATTCTAACTCGAACACATTTTCTAAACATGCCATATATAATACATATCGATTGAAAACTGAACCACAGTGAAAAAAAAAATAAGAAACGTTCTTCATTTCTTATTTTTTCATCTGGTAATACCGACCCCAACACGTGTACAGTGTGTTTATCTATTAATATCTAATTACTGGTAACCCCAACGCATATGGGGTATAAAATATTGTTAAACGTTATACAGAAAAAGTAATTAGTTTCATGGGAATTGCATTTTCGATTACCGATTAATAATTCATGCAGAATATATTTAAATGTACAACAAAAATTCTGGATCAGTTTAGTTACTATTGTTGTGTTTAAATATATTACTTACTAATAAAACTAGATCCTCATTCGAAAAAAAACTGTAATAACTTTTTCAAAAGAATCCTAGATATATTTTTATCTAAAACAGCAACAATTTGTACAACTATTACTTACACATTCAACACACAACCCCCTAAACGCTAAATAGATTTTTTTCATCCCTGACAAAATATTTAATTGAATATGAAACAGGGGTATTATCGTCTTTTGTACCATGGATTTATAAGGACTTTGCTTTGTATATTGTAATAGGTATCTAAGGGTCATACAAAAGTATTTAGGAACATCAAAATAGCTTAGGGGTCGTATTTTCTGCATTCGGCTTAAGTAAGGGGCCGGGATCAGGTGTCGTTGTAAATCAAATAGATTTTCCTACCATTTTGTTCTGTAGTTGCTATAATTAATATTCTTAATGACTAAATGATACTGATATATTACTTAATATAATTATGTTATAAAATAAATATTTTTAGAAGACTGGAAGAACGTTTTATGATTTAGTAATTATAATTGAAACACCAGTGTGGAAGCACGGTTTGACTGCACGGTTGGTGCGGTGGCTGGGCAACCGGCTGCCGTGCAACGTGTCGCGGGTTCGATTCCCGCACGGAACAATACTTTGTGCGATCCACAAATTGTTGTTTCGGGTCTGGGTGTCATGTGTATGTGAACTTGTATGTTTGTAAACGCACCCACGACACAGGAGATAATCCTAGTGTGGGGCAACGTTTTTTTTTTAAAAAAAAACAAAAAAAAAACAAAACAAGCATAACGAACGAATAACTTTTAATTTTTTTAAACCAGAGATATAAATATTGGCCATAGACAATACCTCTACACAAGACAATTTTAATACCATAAATACAAACCATAGATAAATTTTGATAAACAAACTTAACACCCCCAATTATTAAAATAAAGTAGGTACATTACAAAATATAAAACTATTACTTTTTAACATCTTGTATGTACTTAAGAGCTGCATAAAATAATAATGTTTAGTACCACCTAAACCCTTTGTAAGCAAATCTGTTGGCATCTCAGATGTCTCTAAGTAGTTAAGTTATATAATTTTATTATGAAAACATTCCTTGCAGAAATGATATCTTACATCGATATGCTTAGTTCTCTTAGATCGAGATCACCGTTTCAAGAGGTTGCAAAAAACGACTTGAGATTAGTCCCTAGTATGTTAATTGTGTATTCTATAGGCTGAATTCTCATCTATACAAAGTAATATGGCTTTGCCTACAAGGAAACAACCTACACGCACATTCTAACCCAGTGCTAGTGAAAAAAATCGAAAAGTATCCGACTAAAAAGTATTACCTACTAAACTTACAACACTATAAAGAAGAAATGTATGTAACCTTCTTTTAAACTAGGATAAAAACACTAGAATGGATAGTGGTGTGAACTAACATTTTTCAAGTTCACTCCTTGAATTGAGAGAATCCCCCAGGATGTCTGGGGTTGACGCCGCACTGGGCATAGTCCGTCGCCTGGGATTCAATCTCTGGGGAATTAGTTCGGACTTAAAAAAATAGATAATAGTGCTGTCAGTGTTGGTCAGTCATATTTGGTTATTAATTATGCGTGGGCTACTGACGCTACTGTTATGTTTTTTTTTTGTAATATTTCATACATTGGAAGATACAGTATGAAATAAATAAGTTAGATGCTGCTTTAAATTCAAACTAATCATAAAATTATGTTATGAAAATTTTAATAAAAAAAATCAAATGTGTCTAATTGTCCTAACCTTTGGGGTTCTTTTATTTATTTAAAATCTGAAAGGTGTACTTTAGAAACACATGGCAACAAATGCCTAATTTAGATTACGATTGATCAGCGTTATACTATCTAAACTAGATTGAATAAAAACAGATTGAAACAAAGGAGGTAATCGTCTAAAATGTCACGTAACATTATCTTAATAAGTCCGTACAAATCGAGTGACACGCAAAAGAGTCGTTCACAAAAATGGCGATGAAAAGATGTTCGATGTAATAGTGAGTTGCGGTCGATTTAATTGTATTAAAACGTTAGGCTGTGGGCACACGGGCAATCAGCTAATGCCGTGCGGTGCATGCGAACGGATCACGCAACTCTTGTTTTGGTAAGATACAAAAATAAGCAAGAATTGTCGTTTGAATGCAAATTATGTCAATCGTCAAAGCACTTACTCAGGAAAATTTTTCAAATCTATACTAATATTAAAAAGAGGAAAGATTTGTACCTATTTTTGTATGTTTGTATGTTTGTAATGAATAGGCTCAAAAAGTACTGGGCTGATTTAAAAAATTCTTTCACCGATAGAATGCTACATTCTTCCAATTCGACATAGGCTACATTTCATTTTGAAAAAAAAATATTGTCTACCCCGTGCAAAGCCGGGACGGGCTGCTAGTTTATAATATATAGGAATCTTTGACATTGATCGTTGTGTAAGTTTTACTACAGATGTTAAAGGACTTAGAACAAAAGATATACATATTAATATATATATAGATATAACATTAATGCAAAGCTACTCTATTACTCTACGCGAAATTTTACACTAAACTCAGTATGGAAGTACTATCAACCGGATTATTTGTGTTCCCATACTAAATCACTATCATATCAATATCTAAAACATCAATCTGGCCACCCTATGTTTGAGTATAGTCTTAAGATACTGACTCATAGTTCGTCGAATGAGATTGGAGTAAATCCCATAGAATGTTCCATGGTCTGAATTGAGAGGCGTGTGTGGCGCACGTGGCGTCATGATTATGTTTATTTAACGATGTTCAAACAACATATTAATTTAGTTGCCTTTTGTTCACGAAATGACTTTCGGAAGCTGGTATACGAGGTATTTTGAGGCATTTTTATTGATAACATTTAGATAGAAATTGTTGTTGGATTTCTTTGAAAATATAATGTACTGTGAATGTGAATCACAATTGTCAGGTATATTTTCTATTCGTAATATAATTTGTATACCTTTATATAACATATGTAATACACAGAATATTTTTAAGTATTTTATTTTATTGCAACCAAAAACTCAATCAAAATATCAACTTAAGTAAAATTAAGTTCAATACATAATCTTTCTGTGTATTTCCAAAGCAGTCTTATTATTATCAATGTCTATGAAAATGTGTACAAATTTTCAATAATTTCTAAATCAGTCAAATAAATGCATAGACATGAAAAACACAACAAAATAAATTGTATAGAAGTGCGACTGCAGTAATAATACAAATATCTAGAGTAAAGTATTCTGGCGAGGCTGCCAAGCGACTTTGCGCCTTGCGTAAATCATTGTGCTTGTTGCCTTTTTTACTATTCTTACTACAATTTAGAACTACAGTACAAGGCAAAGACATTTACATATTAGAATTATATTTCTGTAACAATTTTTATGATTATTTCATTGGAATCAGATAATTATTACATTACCAATTTTCGCCCTTAATTTACTAATATCATCAACAGCCTATAAGTAGCCACTGCGGACCTTAGGCCTCTTCTCACTTGGAGAAGCTTTTAGCATTAATCACCACGCTTGTCCATGCGGGTTGGCGATCCAAACTTATAATTAGACATTATGAACCCAAGTTTCCTCACAGTATTTTCCTTTACCGTTTATAAGTGGTGTCTAAATAATCTTAGAAATTACATATAACTCGGAAAAAGTCACATTGGTACCTTGTTGGTAGGTTTCGAACCCACATCCTCGTGCATGAGAAGCGGACGTTTTCAACTATTACTAATATTATATGTTTAAACTGATGATTATTCAGGAAATTATTTTATCGACACGAAGCTCTAAACGATTAATTAAGAACATGATATTTGTAATAAAGTCAATGTAACTGTAGTTGCTTTCCACAGCTCTGCATAAACCTATTACGTCACAAATTCTATCGCCTTTACAACACAATACAATACAATAAGAAAATTAAAATATAATTCTACTTAAAAACTAGCTCCTACGCAAACAACATAGAGAATACAGATAAAATTGTGCCAGTACAAGACAATTTCGCAGTCTCTATGCGTTGTCGTTCATGTAAATCACGCAAGATGCCGCGATGCAAGCACGTCTCGAGTCCACAGCACACTTTATTTGTTACTCGCTCATAAAACAAGAGTATCGTGCTTATGTTTGTGATAGAATATAATTTATATCGCGTTATATTATTGCGTGATTTGTTGTGCAGTTTGTTTGTTGATGTAAATAGAATAGTTATTAAAAAAAATACAAGGTGATGTGAATGTGTTTGCGTCAAAGTTAATTACGCCTTTAGATGAATTGATCATCTAAAGGTGTGAAAAACAAACTGATTATTGACTGCACGTTTGGTGCAATGGCTGGGCAACCGACTACCGCGCAATGTTTACCGTGTTCGATTTTCGCACAGAGCAACTCTTTGTATGATATACAAATTGTTGTTTTGGGTCTGGGTGTAATGTGTATGTGAACTTGTACCCACAACACAGGAAAAAATCCTAATGAGCAAACGTTTAAAAAAAGAAAATTAAAACAAACTAAATATTACTGAGGCCATATTGCCCATTAGTTTTTATATGAATGGAAGTTGAACAAATTACTATTTACTTACTACTATACCAAATTTTAACGACAAACGTGAAAAATACTAAACTAGTACTTATATCTTCCGATACTTATTAATATGTTTTTCTTAAATAAATGTAGCTTTAAAACAGAACAATAACAATAAACGATCAGAACAATTCACTGTTCCAATTATCTGAACTACATACACAAACATACATACATATAAGTAAAACACGATGTCTCCAAACACACACAATAACGGGTTACGATACAGAAGAAGGCTGCAGTAATAATTTCAAACAACCCTCTTGACAAGAGGCTTGGTATTAAGGTGCGGTGCAATTTAAATTAACCCTTACATATGATTTATTAAAGTGTTACTTGACAATATCGAATATAATTAACGCTGTATGCGAGTATGTGGTAGTATCTTAGTAAATGTAAGGAAAATCTTTATAAAATATGCAATGTTTTAGTCGAAATTTAATGCTAAAAATTGAATACTTAAGTTTTTTGTTTTATCTTTTCTTTACTTATTTCAAAGGCGTTAACACATTAAACGCTGTGGGGATCACCGGTGACCGACGTTAGTGGAGGATTTGCCTTCATCAGTTTTCTATTAGGCAGTCAAAGACATAAAGATCAAGCTTATTTGTCTGCTATTGAACAGGCCAATTATGTCCAACGTCAGACAAAAACGAGTAGATCATGATGAGAATGACGATTTCAAAAGTACACTTGAAATATTTTTTTATACTCCAGGCGTAACTATAAAAAAGCAACACCATTACATAAATCACATGTTTAAAAAGCTACGAAGCAAATTTTCTCTACATTTTTTCATATAATTTGTCCCAAAGCCAAAAAACTACCCATAATACAAAACCGTGTAACTTATATACCGCATACGATTCCGTAATTCTTAGTTAACAACGTTCGGCCTAAGTTAATTATGTTCTCAACATAAATCTTTGGTAATTGGCCTCCTGTTACACAACACTAACATAGGACGTGTTGAAATTATATATGTGAGGTGTTGAAGTTTCATCATGTTTTACTTAACTATGTTATTTGTTGGGGTTTATAATTGCTGTTGATTGTTTCAGGAATTTTGTTGTGTATTTTTTGACATTAGTTAGTAAAAAGTTGTGTTCATTCAATATAGTTATGTTTAGATACTAAAACATTTCGGAGGTCGTGGTGGCCCAGAGGTTTAAGACGCCCGCTTCTCATGCATGAGGGTGTGGGTTCGAAACCTACCAACGGCAAGTACCAATGTGACTTTTTCATAGTTATATGTACTAATATTATCTAGATACCACTGACAAACGGTGAAGGAAAACATCGTGAGGAATCCTGGGCTTATAATTTCTAATTATAAGTTTGTAATCGCCAGCCCGCATTGAGCAAGCGTGGTGATTAATGCTCAAACCTTCTCCGTGTGAGAAGAGGCTTTGCTCAGCAGTGAGTATTTATAGGCTGTTGATGATGATGACTAAAACATGTTTATTACGTAGCTTAAAAAGACTTTGAAATGATAAACTTTACTGTTCTTAACGTAAAAGTTTCTTAATTACATTTTTACAGCACTAAAATCACTATCTTAAAAATGCAACCTAGTATGTTAGACAAAGTATCTCATTTTATTATTTGTACATTTTATCTTATCCCGTTACTTCTCACAATTAGTTTATTACCAAATACAATAACATGAGGACCCTACAGTATGTCTCATATGACAAACGGATGGTAACACCTACGAACAGCTGATTAAACCCTTTACGTCGATCAAAATCTTTCAACACGACACTCCCCATTCATTTTATCAAATTCTAAACTAAAAATAAAATAAAATTGTAACACGAGATAACGATAATGATTATGCGCAAACGCAATGCAATTTAGTTGACCAGGGGGCGTGGGGATTAGGGTCTAATCAGACGGCGCGCGATGACAATCAGACGCGTGCGCACCACGTGTAGGTCACGTGGCAACATGGCGTACTTTTGGGAGAAACGTTTTAGGAATAACGTGACATCTGTGTTGGGAACTCTTTGAAAATTTTTAATCTGAATGAAATTGTGAATGTATATATAAATGTCTTACCTGCTTCGTCACCGAGTCGATAAGTCGAACGAATATGTCTTGCTCTTGTCGGATACCTGTGAAAGATGACAATTATTTAATATAAACATATATTTATAAAGAGAGCTAGAGAAGAAGAGACTTCCACAGCACAAGGAAAGTATGTTCTTCTTTTTTAAAAATAAAAAGAAAAGTTTATCAGAACAAAAGTATTAGAAATAATTGCATTGCTAACATACTGGTACTATCTCTAACATGTTGTGTTTATATTAAGATCGTTCTAATTCTCGCTCCTATAAAACAGTAACATTTACACATAGTAGCAATAAAGATCGTAGCAAGCTACGAGCTACGGGCTACGGGCTACGGGCTACGAGCGTAGCGACGTAGCAGCAGACATTGCACAATTTGTTAACCTCCTAGAATTGCCTCTACGCTTGCTTCTCTCCTTTTAGAGTTCCGTATTCCAAATGGTTTAACTTTGCTTTAGAATTGCATTTTTTTAAACACGCGGTAAGAAACTTGACACAGAAAGTAGTAACCAAGTATTTAATCCAAAATTATTTTATTCATAAAATACATAAAAAGTCCAATAATAAAAGCCTCTCGAAAAAGTTTGTGTTTATAATACATATAGACACTTTGCAACATAAATAAGAACGTTATACTATTTTTTTTTTTCTAATCTCTCCATAAACCAATATTATTACGAAAACGTCATAACATTTTCCCAAAAGTATTTTTCTAAAACTAAACATTAACTCATGTATCGGACGACATAGTCTAAGAGCTTCAGTGCTATCGTCATTCATAGTCCAGGAGCTCGCTATTCTGTGCCAATTTTCCATTATCCCTGGTCTAGCGGCAAGACGGCAAATATTTACAATGCGACCACCCTGTATAGTCTGTGTTGTCACCGACGACTGTTGAATACGAGATTGAGCTTTACATTTGATTTATGCCTTCTTGCTATGGAATAATGGTCATAGTTGCTTGTATAAATGTTTATATGAAATAGTCAAAAATTAAAAAGGTGAGACGGTTCGAAATAAGAAATTTTAATTTTGTTGCCTCGCGTATTTCTTGCAAAAAATAATAATCGCTAGTCATTATTAATAATTTTAATATATTTTTTTTACATATTCAGATGTTTTATTCCATATCCAACTTATATTGATAAACATACTGACTTACTAATCAAAACACCAATCAGCAAACCTCTATTAAAAACCTAATTCAATTATTAAGAACCAACCCTACATCACTATGCTACTTCGATCTTAGAAGCTTGAATAGCTATTGACGACAATAGCATGCATGACAGTACGACAATGCCCAAGTCGGGCAATATTTGCTCAACTCCCGTCTGCAGGGCGATAATGCTTTGCGCATCACTGTATTGACGGTCGAGACGAAGTGACTATACAATTATGTCCGTAACTGTACCTAATATAGGATGCTTTTGGAAATGTAACTTGGCTAGTTAGGGTGTTTATGTGTCTTGGATTATATCAAATCTGGATTTATTTTACATTAGTGTGATGATTTTCTTTTGTTGTTTAAGACGCCCGCTTCTCATGTTCGAAACCTACCAACGGTAAGTACCAATGTGACTCTTTACGAGTTACATATATGTACTTTCTAAGATTATCTAGACACCACTGACAAACGGTGAAGTAAAACATCGTGAGGAAACCTGGACTCATAATTTCTAGTTATAAGTTTGTAATCACCAACCCGCTTGGACAAGCGTGGTGATTAATGCTCAAACCTTCTCCGTGTGGGAAGAGGCTTTGCTCAGCAGTGGGCATTTATAGGCTTTTGATAAGTGTGATGATTTTCTACTGTTACAGTTTGTAAAGTTTTTTGCAAATATTAACATTAAGAAAGTAGTGCTTTGAACTCTTTATAAACAAGTAAACTTTTATGGTCACTAATGCGTTTGATATCTACCTACGAGTTTACATCCCGTACACATAGTCAATTTAATACTTTGAAACAAGAATGTTTTTATTAAATTTCACTTAACAATGTGGTCTAAAAATTGACATATCTATATATGCTCCATCGTAGACCGCATCATCGCTTACCACCAGGCAAGATAGTGGCCAAACGTAGGCCTACTTAATATAAAAAAATCTTTAACCTACCATTGATGCAATTCTTACAACTTCAACTTAACATACCTCTATATAAATTTATAAACCCAGCAAGCAACCTTACCCAACAGAATTTTCCTCAAGCTATAACATAAACGAGGGGATTTGTCCAGAGAAATATCTCCAACCTCGTCATGGAGTAACCCCAAAACTGAGGAAGATAGTCACTTACCATTTGCATAAAGTAATTGAAGTCTGTACTGGATGCCATTGTTCGTCTTCTGCCCTTCAACTTCCTGTAACAAAATGTTATGGTTAATGGAACAGCCTGTGTATAAAAAAGAAATGTTGTAGTGGCACCGAGGTTATGGTATCTATGTTTTTCTCAAACTTGAGAAGTGTGCAGGCTACACACATACACACGTACATAATATGTGATTTTGTTCAAATTACTAATTACAAAGGTCAAATTTTTTTCATAACAATAAAAATCCAGTTTCTTATGGCCTCGCTTTCCATAATTTGTCCACACATTCAAAGTTCACTTTATACTGGTTGTTCAAACTTCGATTTGTTATATGTACATACATATAATTAATAGTGTAATTCAAACGCAAGTTATATGGGTCCTAAACATTCGTATATTCGATGTGTTCGAATGCTTGCTTTTGTTATACATTGTTTGATTTTACACACGATTATACATACATTATCTTAATTCAATTGAAACTTGGTTTTGTGGTTTATTTTTTTAATTGAAATCTTGCTGTCCAGTTTGTGCACTTAGAATTTTAATCCTAAATTCTTAAGAAGCAATAATGATTTCGATTACATTTTATACTGTTTTGCAACACTTCATCGTAAACAAATGTTTATAGTGATACCATTCACTCCACTATTTATTCTTAATAAATGAATGTAACAAAATGGTTTCGCTGCAAACCAATATTGAATTCAAAAAAGCCTAGAGTGAGAATACTTAACAGTATGATATAAAGTGCGGGCCGCATTCAGTAAAAACACGAGCATGAATGTTTACTATATGAATAATTAACACGACGCCAACAAACAAGACGTGTGAACGCGCCAACGCCCTCTGTCGACAGACATTGTAACCTATATTGGAGACATATTTTTTTCGTTATTTTTTTTGCGAATTGTTTTTCTGCCAGTAGTTAATATCAATATGTATTATTTGGAAATGCGGTTTTAAATAAAACTTTTTATTGTTTCCTCAATTTATTGCGTGTTGGTTGAGTTGCAACCATTACTTACGCTTTCAATGCTTTTAAAATTTATTCAAATGATCGTCAAAAGCTATCTTTAAACTAAAGACAGACCGATGTATATCAAGAGTTAAATTTTAACACATGCCACCAACACGCATGCGTATTATGTAAATAAGTATTGTGCACACAATAGAAATCATGTCGAGCCGATCCTGATTGATGAACTCCAGTGAATTCAGTGATTCGTATCTCGTTTTGAACATTTCTTGATAAACTAACAATATGACGCCGTATTGAAAGGGACTAACTAAGTTGATAGTAAGGCAGACGCTGCGTAATCGGCTCAGTAGTTTTACTGTTTAAACATTCGTTAAAATATTTTTGAACGTGTGTACACTCAGAGACTAGAATACTAAGCTTTGTTGCAAAATGAGAAGGTTGAAAATCAATTATGTAGAAATACAGATTGAGATAACGTGATTTTTATTTAAATTTCAAATTTTACTGTAAGTTCATTCACATGTAATTAAAAACCATACCAACACATGTGGATGAATGAATGTGCATGTGTAACAATATTTATTTACCTGATCTTTCTCAATAAATCCAATGAAGGCGGTGCGTTCGATTTCAACTGGTTGTCCCGCTCTATCATAGAGTGCGACCACGAAATGGAAGAAGTTACTCTTGCGCAGGTTACTGGGTGGTTGCTTCTCGAAGTGCGCACGACCCACGCCTACGCTACTGTTGGGATAAAGGAATCATGTTAAAAAACAAGGAATTATATTTCTGCATGCATTTGTCACAATATCGGATAATAATGTGAAGAATTTCAAATCTTTTGACATAATATTTAAATTAGTTCTTCAAATTAATAATCTGTTTTCATTTAAAAATACTGTAATATTCCAGAAAGGGTTAGTTTTCATAATTAATATGTCAAACTTAATTACATAAGACATAACTAAACAAGTCATTTCAATTTTTGACAAACTTTAGCACACGCGACACAACTGCTACCAAAATATAAATTCACCGTGAAGTTTACGAACAAAAAATACGGAACCCAAATTCTTAGATCATAAATTATCACATTTCTTCCACAGTTACTTTATTTCCAAACTGCAATTTGTCAATAGACACGTTGCCGCCAAAACTAACCGCGCCATTGTGACAGACCACAGACTAAACAAAAACTACAGATAAACAATAGAAACAGATTATAATCCTTTAAAAATGATTTATTGCCTTTACCGTTACTGGGAATGTAGATTTGCAAGTTAACTGTGGTTATTATTTCGGTTTACGGTTAACCCTTTCTTATTCATGTACTGATGACTTAATTTTCCTACAAATAGCAGTGTTAGCTATGTCATTGTTTGGCTCAAAGAATTGCGGTGACATTTTTTTTAAGTTAGCACAATTTGCAATACTCGGAATTTTTAGCATTTTCTGATGTGAACCAATGAATTAGCTACACAGCTGATGCTTTGTGTATTCGTTTAGAATATTTATTTTCTAAGTTCTATCCAAAAATAGATTAATATTCGGAAGGAATCCTAGAATATCGATAACACTAATGAAGTGACGATGTATGAATAGCATCGCTTGAACACATACACATCGATATCGACATGTGTGGCTGTTCGAATTTCGAAAATAATTGCAATTTTACATTTACCATTGCGTTAGGTCTTATAACTTAGGTAATAAGGTTTATTTCTCTGGTAATGACTGTATGTAGAACTGTTGAATGAATGTATCGATAGAACATTTGGAATGTGTGCAGTTCATCAAATCTTCGGTCTCATTTCTCATTGTTGTTCCCCGTAAATGTGCTTGTGTTTAGTGATGTGATGTTAAGCTCTAAAATGTTATTACTTTTTAAATGGTATTCTACGATGGATCAAAATAGACTTTTATGAGTTATGTTCTTATTGATTTAAAAAGCTACCATTATTTTACTCGCTATTTATATCACATGTTTTATTTAAAAGATCATTTTTGATTGATGATGTCATCTCATCATTTTAAATGCAAACAATTACTCTGACCACGTATAACTCAGCGTTCAATTTAGTACCAAATTCATAGCCAGACTCAAAAAAACATTCCCTTACCAATATCATTATGCCAAACGAAATGGTATTCTCAAAATCCTCGATACCGCAGTAACATCACTAGAGCACATTACCCACCAGGACCGTATTACGCTATGGTTGCCCATACATCTCTCCCCGCTGCAGAATTTGCGTAAACAAATTGGTTTCGCGATTGCCATTTTATACTCTCGCACGCGACACTCCATTGTTTTATTTATCGTTACCAGTTTCGGCGGCGCGTTCGCGATTAGGTTGCACTGCTTTTTCCGCTTACAGATCGCGAGCGTTTTGTCAATCTTTAGCTATTTTTTTAGAACTGTGTTTTTTGTGTATGTTTTTTTAGAACAGAATGTTTTTCTTTGCATTTTTTCCTTTTTGTTGACTTCGATTGTTCTAAAAAGGTGTTGTTCTTAATTTGAATTAAAATTATATTAACTTACTTACTAAATACTCTTGCACGCGACACTAATTTGTTTTATTTATCGTTACTAGTTTCAGCGGTGCGTTCGCAATAACGTTGCACTACTTTTTCCGCTTCCAGATCACAAGCGTTTTGTCATCTTTGACTATTTTTTAGAACTGTGTCTTTTTACCTATACGTTTTTCTTTATTTTCAAATATCACGACATTTTTTATCGGCATTTTTTGTTGGTTGTGTATATTATAGTGGGTTTTTAATTAGAATTCAAATCAAAATAACCTTATTCACCAACAAAAAAAAATCCAGAACTTTTAACTTTTACAGGAACGTATTCCACCTTCTACGATTTGTAGGTATAGAAGCTTAAATTAATTTGAAACAAATAAAACTGAATTCCACAAACACTAACCTAATTAAATTCAAGTAATAACTCAAACGAACCTCCTTTTATGGAACGCGAACAATTATTATTTGCGTGTACAGCCACTCTTAGACGGATCATTACCTAGTAATGTAATTTATTAAAAACGCTAGTACGCGGGTGCGGCTTAATGATTTACTGGCAAACAAATGAGTCTGTCATCGCCGACGGGTAGGCTATCTGTCAACATTTGTCATCCCAAGACCCGGTGATTGCCCACAATTAGTATAATTAGTGACCTATTGAGAAATTAATTTGCTAACGTACTACGTAACCACACCTCTTTTATTTTAATTAAATACTGTTTGGTTAGGTTATTTTTTTTCATATTTTTATAGATAGTTTGTCAGTGTCAGTCTTGTTTCCGAATTATTTTTTTAAATGTGGTACCAGTGTGTTTACTTTAGGTATATGATTACCTGTCAACAGAATGAAATAATAAAAATAATTAATATATTTTGTATACTACTACTACTACACTCAAACTCAACCGGTCGAGCCAATACTTTTTTTAAACTCTGTATCTAAATATTCCAAAATACCAAACATAAAACTGGGTACAAGTAAATAATGAACCTAAACTGAATTAAAAACAACATTAAACATAATTAATCTAACCAACTACTTCAGGCAAAACAAATAAAAACAATTGAAAGTAAATATTTTAAGGAACGCACTAACTAAAACACGACAGATGTCGGAAGGGCGCTCCTCTATGATTCTGTGCAAACACAATACCTCCCTAATTCGCAGTCGGTGCACCAATACGTCACATTATACAGCATACCAAATGTTTATTGTTGCACAAGTGTATTATATTATCATAAAATGTATGGGTTTGTTAGTTTGTCCTTAGTAAATTATGAGTTCGAATAAAGAATGGTGATAGTATAAAATTTTGTGAACAAAATTTTTGTTATGAAATTACTATAGGGTGTTATTTACAATTATTCCTTATTGTAATATGACTTGTGTTTCGTTGTGTGTCAGGCATTAACTTGTTTACTATTTTCGACAGTAGACTAGGCTGTCATATCTCTAAAATTAGGAAATAATAGCGTAACGATTTTCTATCCAACTTTACGACTACCTGTCAAGAAGGATGATTCAATTCAGCCTATTTTCTTATCATACAAATGACATAGAAAGTTCCTATTTTAAACACGTTTACCCATTTAAAAAACAAAACAGTACCTTAAATAAATGATGCGGGTACAATCGCAAACTATACTCTGTGACCTATACGGTACAGTATTGCCTGCACTGCCCCTGCATCGCCTGCTATGATTTATAGCGCCCTTTGCTTTTATGAATACGCACTTGTTACCGCATGCTTCATTATGGCCGTGCGAAATTTGTACGCCCCTGATTGGATACGTGATAATAGAGCCATTGTACTTATCAGGGTAAGGGTACAGGTGATTGGTGTTTCGTGGATAGTTGTCCGTGCCATGCTAATTGGGTTTAGTTTATAAAAAACTATTGTTGGTATGTACTGATGATATTTGATTTCGGTGATCTAAACTTTATTTGGACTGTGTTAAAGTTTATTACAGATTATTTTTTTTATTTACCCACCGTTTATCGTTTATTTGTTAGTTTATTGGTTTTCTAATTAAAATTTGTTAGTATTATGGTCCAAATAAACTGTTCTAATTTTTTCTTTTTACTTATTCTAAATGGGTTCTATGTTAGTTTCTGTTTATTTATGGTTTCGTTTTAGTTTAGTTACGAAATCAATGATAAAATTCACAATCCATATTATTTTGAACACGATAAATCGATGAAATTAATCATGAATACTTAAGCAAAATGTTTATTGCTGCAGAATAAAATAAGAACAAAATTCAACTAATCAAGAACAAACCGCATGTTACATCAAGAAGCATCTTTGCGAACTGTATTCGCAAAGATGCGGTTTTTGAAAACCGCATCAAAAGTAAACCCATCCAGTTGCGACTACCGGAGGCAGACAAACATATTGATTGACAAGAACCCCACAAAAAGTCGCATTAGGAAACCGAACTTAATCCCTTACAGTTATTTAATGTCAAATAGGGTACGTTTTGCTCCCAATTCGAAGAGCGCTAATACAATTTCGTTTGCTATAATAAGTTTAGTCCGATGCTCTTTTCGGTTTTCGGTCACTAACAGGTTTAACAGCGTATCAAATGAGGGTACTTTGTTTGTGTACAACCAACATTTTTCTTTAAATTATAATATTTTTGTCACATGCTATTTGAGGGTTAACGATATTAATGTGGTTCCAATTCTTAATATCATTATTATGGGTACTAGGTTAACTTAAAAGTAAGTCTAAATATAAGTGTTCTTTTTTGTTATTTTTATACTCAATAATCGAGGTGATGTTTTTTAATTAAATAAAGATAAAAAAATGGCAATTAATTTTCTACAAGGAAACTAAAATATCATTCTATAACCTCTCCATAATCTCTCTCTCTCTCTCTCTCTTTCTATGTTTATCTGTTCTGTACCAAATTAAATATGTGACAAATACAAATATCACAACTAACTCTCATCTTCCTTGGGTTTAGTTATCCATAGTCCTCAAACTCAAATCTTCACGAAACTTTCTAAATAAATTCTCTATCCAACTATGAAAACCAAAAAATAAATGTTCAATACTTACACAGTTCACTGCGAACACATAGACCCAGTGAAAAACTTATTTTGATTTTAATTCAGACGACTTACTTGGTATTATCAACTAGTGAGGTTGGAGTCATCCATGCCCGAGTGAGGGGTTCTTCCTTTAGTGAGGTGACAGGCCCTCGGGGTTGAGCATGGATGCCCCCTGCCGCCTCCTGGTGGTGCAGGCCGAACATCAGTCCGCCTGTAAGAACATTACTATTAGAGGCGCATATTAATCTCAGGATGATGAAAGATCTTGTGATGGGAGAAAAATTGGTCATGATCTGTACATATAATAAGATCGTAGGATTGTGAAAGCACATCAAATATTTTTTTAAAGAATGCTTTGTGCGTGATCCACAGTCGATACCGAAACCAAAAATTTGTGAGCCAAGAATTTGTGTGGTTTGTCTGTATGTATATATACTATATATACTATATATACATACTATACTATGTCTGTATATATAATATGTCCAGGATGAACTCAAAAGTACTGCATGAATTTATTTCAATTTTGCATGAATGTTACTATCAGGCCGGGTCAACACTATTCCACGCGGACGAAGTCTCGGGCTCAGCTAATATGACTAGAATAATATAACTATCATGAGACATACTAAATTCACTAAAAAGCAATTTTTAGTTAATATGATTATTATGTTTGCGAGAGTCATATTATAAGTATGTCATATAATAATGTTCTGAAGGTATTGACAGAGTTTTATCTGAATTAGAATTCATTGGGTATGTATACTGTAAAATGGAGCCCTAACAAATTTTATAAGCAATACCAATTTTTGCAACGACTACCATTATAAGCTTTCCATTGCATATTTTTTTTTTTTTTATTATTATTTATTTCTATAATTTACTATCAAGTTTTTATCATTTACATAATGTATTGTAACTGCTGTGTAAAGTATCGGTATGCAAAAATGTATGTTCTTTTGTTTTATTATATTTGTAAACTATAATAAGAGCCATATCGAAATCTTTAATTTTCTAACATGCAAAACTTCAGTAATACAACATATTATTTGCTAGTAAGTGCTCTTCACTTAAATATATGGAGCTAACTGGAATTATTAAACCAGTATTTGTTTGTTTTAGAAAAGTCTAATAATACATGAAAAACTGATGGCTGTTCATAAAGCAAAAAGGTAGGTATGTAAGAATCGTAGCAATCGGCATTCCATAGTCTCTGCCTACCCCCATAGGAGACAGACGAAAAAAATAATTCCAAAATTATATTATCAGTTCATTATTACTTTAAGTTTGTTGAAAATGCTGCAAGATTAAAGTTTTGACGTATTACTAAAGGGGACTGAAACTTCATATATATTTTTTTTTGTCTCTATTTCCTACTCATGGTTTAAATTTTAAACTATAGTCATTTCTACTTGTCAAAGTGCAGTATAGCTGTATTAAATATATTGCAATTCTAAAATAAATAATTATTACTGGCGTGCTAAGTTATTTCCTGAATCATTTCAGTAATGACAATACAACTTATAACATAAAAAATCGTACACTTTAATCAGAATTTTATTTCTGATTTTATAAACAGCTCTAATTTTTTTTTTTTGCTAAGAAATGCTTAGGAAAAATACCTACCTAGAAATAAATATACTACTTATCATATATCATTGAGTACACTTCAGTTATTAAAATTGTAATACGAATTCTTCCCATTTTCTTTCCTCCTTCTTTCCTTTTTTCCTTTCCTCATAATTTTTTAATTGCAGTTAGCAACAAGACTCAAAAGTTTTACCCCAGTTTAAACTTGACTTCTAACCCTCACAGAGTCTCTATATACCCAAAGAGTCTAAAAATAACACAAAAGTTTGTATCTATCAATTAAACTATAATAAACTAAGTTCTCGCTAAGACGGTATGAATTATGCCCGAATACTGAAACGTTTGTTAAATATTTAACGGCTGCTTAAATCATTGAGCAGCCCTCAAATCCTAGTTTGGTATACTCAAACGTCTGTTATCTTTTTAAAGGTCTGTTAAATTTAAGTCGTGCTCAAAAGTCCACTTAAATGAAAAAACCGTATACTGAAACGATACTTATTTTAAGTATGTGTCAATATATTGTCAAAAGTCCACTCAAATGTAAGAGTGGTCTGAAGGCCTCCTAAATGCTTTGAGCGTGGTAGAAATTATAATTTACGTATAAAGTCGTGTGTTTAAAATGTCTCTATCAACGCTATTTTCTCTTTTGGCTGATGTAAGTCATCCAACACGACACAATGAACTGAAATTGAACGCATTTGAACAACTAGCAAATGGGAATATTTATATATATTTTATTCCGCTGAAGAACTGAATGAACGAAGCACGGAGTATCCTCAGGAGTTGTTGACTCGGCGTCGAGCGAAAAATATATCGAGTTTGGTTAGAGTGGTTTATTGCGTATCGTGTGTGTTTTGTGTCGCATCTCTGCTGTATGAGCGCATATCTGCGGGCGGGAGGTCGGTGCTGCATACTACATGCATCATACATGCCATTATTTGAACAATAATTATCATGATGTGGAATTTCGTGTAAACTTCTGTATTTCCAAAGAAAGAGTTTAGTGCTTGAACTCGGTATTAGAGGACGATGTTCAGAGTCTCTCTGAAGTATGGGATCCGTAACGAGTTAATTCGATAGAAAACTGAAGTTATCATCGTAGCACAAAGGATTATCAAGCTGAAATGGCAGTAATGATCAATTGGGGTAGACGTGTACTGAAGTGGAGAACGCGTCTAGACAGACGTACCTACATAGTGTGGGGCGGTGGAGAGAATTTAACTACTAATAGAAAAATACAGTATCAGTTGTTTCAACTGCCTGTCTGAATTAAATAATTGATAATAATGCTGCGATTGGATGCCTAGAGTTAAAAATTGACCTCAGTGGCGTGCCATTAGAGAGGCACAGGATATCCAGCAGAGGACGAGAACAGACTGATGATGAAGATTGCACAACCCATAGGTCTGGATAGCAATCAAAACTTTATTGTATTAGGACTATGCTAATAAATGGACATGTTCAATCATAGTAAAATAGTTTTATTATTATAACTATAACAGTATAGGCGGCGACGGGGTATGCTGCCATGTTCTGGACAGCTACATCATGATTATAGTGCTGACACATAGAATCCCAAGCATCTTTCTTTTTTTTTCATATGGGCGTTGGTCTCTTTGTTTTCTGTAATATCATTATGCCTGCAAAAATAGCAAGAAGCATATAAATTAACAATACATCAGATCAGTTCTATGTACCTATAAGTACGTATTAAGTTTCGTTACATACTTACTTCTTGATCAGCCCTAAAGCATATCCTTTTCGGTAGTCGTATATAGTTAATTGGACCCACGATTCGTTTTTTCTTCCATAATAACATTAAAATTGTAGTATGCTATCTGAAGCCGGAGAAAATTCGTGTTTCATTAAATGCCAATAACGTCTGTATGTCAATTGACTTACAACGTTTCACTACACGACAATCTAGTCGTAATTATTTATTTTTCATTTTAATATTATAATTGTGTGTAGATACTTAAATTGTTATTTTTATTATGATATTATATGTTAATAAAATTAGTAATAGAATATAATAAAATTCATTACAGTGAAATTTATAAAATTTTGGTATATTTTAGTACATAAATTATCATCGAATTAGCTATTTAATCAAATCATGCTGCATGAAACGAATACGTAAAAAAACACAATTTATTTTGTAATCGAGAATATGCTTAGGAAATGCATATTATAGAATGTTGCCATAAAGCAAACATTTAACGGCTGCTTACCTGAGTAGACCAGAAATAAATTGATGGACGTTTCAGTATACCAGTTATATTTGAGGCGTGCTCAAATTTAAGTTGCGATTAATTGAGAGCTGTATTTGACAGACGTGACAGACGTTCGAGTGTCAAACGCTTAGAAGTATCTCGTGCATATAATTTGCTTTGAAAAATTATAAATTAGTGTGAAATGTGTTTATCGTCGTTATCCTCTCTTTCCGATAATGAAAGTCGTCCAATACCGACCCAATGGAGTAAAATTAAATGCATTCGAACTATATGATGGTGTGGAATTCCGTGCACGCTTTCGTGTTTCCAAAGAGACAGTTTGAATTCAGCATTTGGAAGCAGCATCAAACCTTTCACATGTGAAACCGAGCGCTGCAGCCAATAGACCAAATCCTGATAGCTAAAGATTTTAGGCGACAAGCAGTTACCAACGGAGCGTAATAGGAGACATTTTTCATGTAGAACAACCAACTGTTCACCGGGTTGTGCACAAGGTAACGGCCAAAATTGCGAGCATGAAATCTTTATTCATTAATATGCCAACTTCTGAAGAATTTGTGGACATTGCAAACGGATTTTATGCAATTGCAGGATTTCCCACAGTAAGTGAGGCTGTTGACTGGACCAGACCTGTTGCACCCATATTAATTAAAAGCCAAATAGCAACAAGAAATCCAGTAGAGAGTGGAAGTAATTTTGAAGGGTTTCGATAACATTGTCAAAGAAAATTGTAAATTTTGGGAATTTGTTTTTGTATTTACACATTTTTAGGAGGAGGATTAGGAGTTAGTTTTAATTTATTTGAAGGTCTCTTTTTATTTTTTAATTTTATTTTTAGTATAGTTTCTATAGATATTTGTGACTTATGTAAGCTATTAAAAATGAATAAATTGTAAAAATAAAGAATTGAAAAACAAATCATAATAAAATAGTTTTATTATTACAACTCTTTTTATACACAACGTTGCTCCACACTAGGACTTTTTACCGTGTCGTGGGTGCGTTTACAAACATACAATTACACATACACATGACACCCAGACCCACAAAAAGTGTTTGAAAGGTTCCCCTCGGTTTCCATGGATTCCATCATCAGATCCTGACCTGGTAGAAATAAGACCAACCTGAGAGTATGACCTTACTAACAAAAAAAGGATCATCATAATCTGTCCACAAACGCCGAGTAATCGGGTAAAAAGCACACAAAAAAATCATACAACCGAATTGATAACCTCCTCCTTTTAGGGAAGTCAGTTTAAAATGAAGTCGGTCATTATTTTTTAAACTAGCTGTTCCTCGCGACTTCGTCTCAAACTATCGTTGCGTCGTTGTACCGAATTCCACTCAAATAATTTCAATGGTTTAAAAAATAGAGTGACCCAGAAGATTAACGCAGTTCCTGTCCTGTGGGATTTCCGGGATAGAACAAGCATACGTTCTTTCCAGTGCCAATGTCTCACTCTCGTTGAACCGAATTACAATCAAATAGGTTAATAATATTAGTATTCAGCCTCTTTGCATACCTTAATGTTATATCGTGGCAATAAAAAAATAAAAAAAATAAATTGTCAATCATCCATTGCCATGAAACTTACTTGTCAAAAATATGTCAGATAATATAGAAATGTGTACTTAATATTATAAATTTGTGTCTGTTTGTTTGTTAGAAATTGGCGTGATTTTTTTATTGAGTGTAGATAACAGGGGGTCGAGGTTTGTGTGGAGAATTTCATAATTTTCAAGAAACCTAAAATGGTATTACATTTGTGACCAGTAAAACATCGGGCACCAAATATATTTTATCTTTTATAATCCTGCTCTCAATACTTTAAAAGAGCGCAAGCGAAACCACGGGCAGAAGCTAGTCCATAAATAAATTAATGTATTTAGTTAATTCAATTTATACTTTTTCCTTAAAATTCTTGATTCAGATGCAGCTAAATACTATTATTAGTCCTTGAAAACAGTTTTTATTGGTAGTCAAAGGCTTAAGCAATATTCTTCCGAATCCTTTTTTAAGATTTTAATTGTGCCGTGTTCTAATGCTGCTTACTGCTACAGCATTATATTGCTGGCACACAGCATCCCAAGCATCTCTGTTTTTTCGTATTATATGGGCGCTGGTCGTTTTGTTTTCAATAATATCTGCAAATATAGCAATAAGCCATCAGCAATAGATCAGATTACCGTTATATTATATAAGTATTAAGTTTCATTGTATACTTACTTCTTGATCAGCTCTAAAAGAATATATTTTTCGGCGGTCGTATAATTGAATCCACATTTCAGTTTTTTCTTCCATAGTTATCAAATAAAATTAAAATTTTAGTAACGCATATAATTGAAATATCGCGCTTTGATTCGTTGTTGTCAATAATGTCAATTGACTTAAACGTTTCACTACACGACAATCTAGTCGTATAATGTTCCATTTTCATATTATAATTGTGTGTAGGTAGGTACTTAAAAATATTTTTGTTATGATATACATTAAAAAAAATGAACAAGACTGTGAATTCATAAAATTTTAGTACATAAATTATCATCGGATTTAGCTATTTCATCAAATCATGCTGCGTTAAACGAATACGTAATGTAAAAATATTATTTTGTAATCGAGAACATGCTTTTTGTACAGAATGTTGCCATAGAGCAAACATTAACGGCTGCTTACCTAAGTACACCTTAATACAAATTGATGGACGTTTCAGTACACCAGTTATATTTGAGGCGTACTTAAATTTGAGTTGCGATTAACTGAGGGCTATATTTAACAAAGATTTCAGTATTCGGGCATTAGTCTACAAATTAATTACTACGCCTGCTACGCTCATTTGTTATGCTACGCCGTAGCCGCTTCGTAGACTTGATTATATCAACACTTTGAATTCAAAATAAAATGATTTACCTTAATTAAGAGCGGTAATAACACGTTTTTTTTTGTGTGTTTTTGGTTGATTTAGTTTGAATTTAACTTTACACATCTAAATGAATGAGGAACAGTTTTAGTGACTATCTAGAACTAATATTTATTTTATTCTGGAAGTACGTAACGGGTAGGAAAATGTTAAAAACTTTTTGTAGCTTTTTGCTTGATATGTTTTCGTTGAAAAAATATACAAGGTACCGAAACATTTTCTGTACACCGGAAATATATAAACAACTTGGGGATGAAAAATGATCTCTTGGACATATTTTCGTGGTACATACCTGAAGATCTTGGGGCTCCCGAAGGGTATAGCTTTCGTCCCCATCCCACGGGGTCGAGTTCCAGCGGCGGCCACGGTGAACCCGTGTACCCGCCCGCCGCCGCGTTCAACTCGTCCGACCGAATCTCGAATCACGACACGCACCCGATTACGCGCCCGAAAGCGCACGAACACCCCCGGAAAATCACGAAGTACGCCGAAAATTACGTTCGAAATTTAAATTCTTATTTTTATTTCACTTTCCTTTTATACTAAAAATATTACTTATTTATTTTTATTTTTGTAGATTTTTTTCGAATTAACTTCGAATAATCGTTTTTTTATGTTCAAATGTTCATATTTGAAGAACAATTTACCGCAAAAATAATTTATGCTTCAGTTAAAAGACACAGAAAACCCTCAAAGAAATAACACAAAAATCATCCGTCGTTAAAAAGTACGTTTAAAAAAAATACTTCAACTAGGTTTCAACTATCTGTTGTATAACTATCCGGTAGGCGGCTCTGTGTTATCGTATGTGCGTTCAGGGATCGAGTCCCGGTTGTGCGGGCGATCCCGCTGTGAATTTGCGGAACACTAACAAGCGTCGCGGGAGAGCGGCGCCGAGTGCCCGGGCTTCGCGGCGCCCCCGTCCGTCCCCGCGGACTGGGGGAGGCGCCCTGGGGACACGCCCTCGCCTCAAGAGCGGGACAGATACACCGGCGCAGGTGGCGCCACTTGCACACCTTCATTTCCTTCAGAAACAAAAAAATACTCAATAACATTCCTATAAATGATATCTAAAAATCCTATTTGATTTTTTCATCCACGATTTCAACACAGACGAGTAGATTTATCGACGCGTATTATGGTAATGGAGGGACGTTGCGGGGTTTCCCTTTGAGACCGCAGCACGCGCGCGCGAGTAAGGGATAGCGGGATAGATGAGACGCACAACATCTCGCTGGACGCGCCGAGCCGAGCTCAGGGACGGCCCACGCCACGAGTATTACTTATTAAACCCAAGTTAGATTGACGATGATGAAATTTCAGTGGGAATTGACTTTAACTGCGACCGAGATGAGGTTTTGTCGCCTCATTAATTATATGTAAAGTGTTCTGTATGTTTGAACGTGAACAAATCGGAGCACGCTAATGCTGTCGTTAAAATAACGTTTTGGGTCGTTGACACGACGTATGCCGTTGATTTATATTTGGAGACTGAAATTAAATTCAGAATATTGGAGAACATAGGTGTCTAGAGGACGCTTCAGTCATAATGTTTTCTGGAATATTCCCGAACGACCTCATGCCAACATTGAATTAAGAACTTTATGTAATGGAACTAGCGTCTACGTCTAAATAAAAGTGTAGATGATGACTTTCAATTCTCAGACCAAAACCGACTTATGTGTAGGTACATAAATAATAGTTTATAAGTACATTTGAGGTTACCTCAGATGAGCTTCTGCGCTTCTTGCTAACATAGGTACTGAAACATAAACTCTTTAGTAAATGTAAAATATTATTATGCACAATATAAGCCTAGACATAAAATTCAAATGTGTGAATTGCGGAAATTCAAACGTGCGGTTACAAATACTGGTGTTAATCCTTCAGGGAATATTGTTACAGGGGTTTGTTTACCTATATAGCTATAGTTATGTATCATGCTACCTGATGGGATCTTTTTAACATTTATTAATTATGGGTCCCCATAGAAAATAGATCTCACGGCAAGTGATAAAATATAACTGATCAGGGACTTAGGTTAGCTGTTTGAAGGAATTCGCAGAACTAAAAGGCAGTTTAGTTGCTGCATATGAATGTCGATGTGATGGTTTGAAATGTGCACAAGATTTGTTCAATGAATCTAATAGGTATCTGCACTGCACAAGACTGCATGGTTGGAGCGGTAGTTGGGCAACTGGCTGCCGCACAACGTGTCGCGGGCTCGATTCCCGACGACGCGGAACGACTCTTTGTGTGATCCACAGATTGTTGTTCCGGGTCTGGGTGTCATGTGTATGTGAACTTGTATGTTTGTAAACGCACCCACGACACAGGAGGAAATCCTAGTGTAGGGGTTTTTTTTAAGAATAAAATAAACTTGCATTCTTTCTTACCTACATAGGTAAGTAAGTTTTTATTAATGGAAATGTCTTTTTCTGTAGAATAAAAGAATAGATGAATAGACAGCAGACAATGACGACAGCAATGGCTGCTAATTGATTTAATGAAACGCTAATCTAGTCACAAATCACTTCACACGCCTTATTTTCAAAAGTGTTCCATTTCTGTGCTGACAGGGGATATCATCAAGGTAATAACGATTACTTTTTACCAGTCATATTAAGCAAGGGTCGCATTATGTTGGATGAGAAAAAAATGCATAGAAATAGCCTTGTCAACATTATTTAGACACTTCGTGTAACTACTTTATGAACTGGATAGGTAGAGTATAAAATTCATTAACCTCCGCTAAGTCAAAGGCCTATACGAACCACATTTAGAGTACAGACAAATATACGTTTGGCCACAGAGGAATATCACCACAATTAGCACACTGCTAATAGAAGTCCAATTTAGGAACTAGTCCATCGATTTTTGGCTCTCAAATTAGAGGTTTTAACTTTTTAATTAACGCCTTTGTGCGAAAATAGTATTCATAAAGTTGATATAGACTACATATTCGCGTCTCTGAGATACAATTCAGAAGTGGGAAAGATACTTAATATATATGAAGTGTAGGTACCTATTTGATTTATTTTCTGTCGGATTTGAGAAACGTTTAAAACACAGGTTTAAAATGTGATTAAATCAGTTTACATCCTGTGGTTATTCACCGTACCGTATGGTTAGAATGCGATGTATTACTACAAATTAAAGTACCCAGTCAATTGTTGTTTATAGCTATCTAGAACATTTAGTAATAAAAGTCCAATTTATGAACGTGCCAATAGATTTCGTTGGCCATCAAACTCATATGTTAAAGTATGTTACGTAGACAAAATAATATAAAAGTCAACATTCGAAGGATCTATAAAATAAAATAAAAGGTAAGTACTACATAATACGTTTAAGCAACTTAAAACTATTATTTTTATGTTTTTATTGTTTTCAAAATGGTAGCAATATGCATATCAATCGACAGCAATCGACTCTTTGACTAATCTTATAAAGAGCTATAATTCTATAAAAAAATTGTTCGATAAAACGTATAGGTACATTAAACGGTCAGAAGTCTGACTACTGCTGTACATAATATAACAAATTATACAATCAACGTATTTATGCTAACCACTTAATAATACGTTGGTTGTACGTAATCGTAAACTCGTGATTAATATTTCGACTGTGATGTAAACTCTATCGCCAACAAACGATTGTTTTTGGACCTTTTCATTCTTTGTTCTTTTTTGAGAGGAGAACAACTGCAATCGTAATTCAATGTAAATCAAAACCAATCTTTTAATTTTGTAGACTACACAGTTTATAACCTCTTTGTGTACATTCACAAATCAATGACATTTTATATTATAAAGTAGGTGGTCCAGATATTTAATAAACTAGATAGTACCTACTATATAAAATCAGTGTTTTTGGTAAAATATGAAATGTAATGCTATTATTATTATTTCTACACCGGAGACGGTCGTGTATGTGAAACTGCTGTATTGTTAAGATCTGTGTGTACCATATATTGAGAAATAAACGATATTAGAGGTATATTATATTCAAATTATTTGACTTTGACTTTTGATTTATCTGGAATCATACCTACTCACATATTTAGATCTAGATTAAATAGGCACTGTCTTTATTTCGTCTGGATTGAGATCTATTTGCTGTTGTTACACAGATTCGTATAACGAACTTTTTATCATTGTTACCTTATAATGTTAAAGCTGCTGTGTGACCGCTCTCCACTAAACACATTATAGACCTTATTTCCAATGTTTAGAGACTACTTTTGTACGAACACATTTAGGGTACGATATTTCAATAGAGATGTTGAAAAAAGGCGTAGGTACACGCAGTCTGTTAAAACAACGACTGTGGTACCTGGTAACTATAGACTTACACACAGAACATACACATTGACACGAAGGACATCTGTCATTTTTGTTACGTCTGGTAATGTGGTAGCTCATTACACACGCACACATATCTAACCCACTGACATTTTAGGGCTTCAATCAGTTCTAAGTGATATTATGTTCGCCTTTTTTTCAACGTTTTTATGTTTAATGATAACATTCATAACATAACATAACATCACGTCTTTTATCCCCGAAGGGGTAGGCAGAGGAGCACACACAGAACATGCACATTACGGCACTTAATGCCACTGTATAATGTAGGTAACACCCATTTTTCACTATTTATGTTATGAGTCCCATGTAATAGGCGGTGAGCCTATTGCCATATACCGGGCACATTTCCAGACTCCGTGCTACTACTGAGGTTTTTACAAACTCAGTAATACTTTGCCCGACTTGCGACCACTTGCGACCACTCGGCGAATGAGGCAGTCATAACATTCATCATTTCAAAATTGAAATACATTCATTTATCTGTAAAATGTAATGTAAGAGGAATATTATTGGTATTGTAGACTAAATCAAATCTGCATAGATTAGAGTTCAAATTAAGGAATTAAGTAAGCAACTATAAAAAATCTATAGCCCTAGAAACACGTCGTTAGGCAAGTATAAGAATATACATTTTTTTCGAAATAGATACGAAAAACCATACTTAACTTATCGTCGTTCTATAAGACGTATAGTCAAGAGCATTAACCCACATGAGCACATATTCAGCTTAACATTTAGGTAAGCAAAAGTATGCTTGTTAGGTACCTATACATAAAATGACTAATATCTAAGTTCAACAACAGGGCACAAACAAGTTGGCGTTCGTCTCTCGGGCCTGAGTGCTCTGGGAGGCCTCAGAGGGACCGCCTCCTCGCCACGCCCACCTTAAGCCACGCCCCCAAGTGCCTAGAGATTTGCCTGTTACGAGGAACATCGGTGCTTGTTTCAACTTAAGATGTATGATGTATTTCACTTAAGTATACGGAGATGATCTCTAAGTAACTTGCCTAATGCTCTATTATCCTAAATACATACCGTATTGGGCTTTCTTGGTATTTTTTCTTCGCGTAAGAAACGCATCTTTAGCTAAACAAAAAGGCCGTCTTTATACCTAAAGATCGTATAATGTGGAAGATTTAACTTAACTCGGTGAAAATTGTCTCGTTCGCTATAAC